CCCCCCCATGTTTCCAGTGGAACTTGTGATGAACAGAAATCATATTTTCTGTTTGTACCCAAGCATAACTCAGGGAATATTAGTTCTTACCTGCACTTTTCAGGCAAACCTCCACTGAGTCTCTCTGGGAAAATTTTACCTGAGCAAAATCTGCAGTATGATTCCTATTTCTAGATTGTAGCTGGAAAAATATATAATATGTACAAACCATTAATTTTGGGGAAAAAAAATCAAGTTAGCTTCTTTTAAAATTCCTGTTGATGAGTTTAAATGAGAAGCAAAATGAACGTAGAACCCAGAAGAGCATCCATCAGACAGGTGCAATAATAGGATGTAGTATGGAAAAGTTCTGTCCCATTATGTTTCTTAATATCATCACAGAGGAGAAAACTGTAGTTTTATGAGTAAATTTACAATTTATATTCTTAACCCTATATTCTCAATAAGAACAAAGTTTGTGCTTTTCAGAACATTCAAGCATAAAATGCACTAGCATAAAATGCACTAGATAAGAACATAGTAAAGATACATTTATTTGTGAGATATTTCAGTTTCAAATGTAACAAGCTACCCAAATGAAGCATTTTATTTAAAGAAACAATTTTCATTTACATTATGAAGTAATTACAACCTTTTTCATGTCTTCTATTTTTAAAATCTTAATGAAATATTTATCTCTATATGTGCAAACATTGCATGTATCAGCATAAAATAAATACACATGTAGGTAATCAGACTTGACTGAACAATTGGTTTGTCACTGTAGTCCAGCAATGGGGATAAACTGAGCTCTTCGTGTTTATTAGCAAAAGTTTAATTAAGTGTGATGTTGAGCAAAGCCTGGGAAATATTAAGTGATGTCACTTGGAAGAAGTGCTTAGTAGTTTGCAGGAACAGGAATCCATTTAATTTCTGTTCTTAAAGTGCCTTAACATCCTTGCTTTACCTGCAAAGTGTCTCTAGAAACTAGATAAGATTTTCTTAAAACTCATTTAAATATTGCAGATGCAACCCACTAGCTTTTACTGGTTAACTTGGAAAGGAAGAAACATGAAAATATTTAAGATCTTAACGTTACATTTTTCTGTTGCCTGTTTTGTTTCATAAAGCATTGTCAGCTCAGCTGCTTTTTTGAAGATAACTTACTGCACCCTTTTGTTTGTTACTGCAGTTTGGGATGTGTGTGTGCTTTATTTGTTTTGCCGGAATCAACAAGATCCTGTTGAATATTAAACAAAAATTAATTATTTAATTTTCAATTACACTCCTGCAGGCAAATCTTCTGTTACAAAATATGCTTAAAGGAAGCATTTACAAAAGGGTGCTGAATTACATTCTTAAATGTTAAATTTTAATGATAAAATATCTATTCAATACCCTCTATACATGTAGCTGCATAACTGTATTATTGTTCATTTTCCTAAGACATTATTTTCCAAGGGTTATTGATCCATCTTATAGCAGTATCAGTATTCTATTACAGAGATCATTTAAATAAAAATCCCCATGACCTCATCTCCTGCATAGTCACAGAAAAAAAATTTCTCTTCTGGTTCAGTTGGAAATTATATTTGGAAGATGAAGGTACGAAAAACATTTATCTTAACTTGCGTTGATTATTTTTCTTTTGCAAAAACCAGACAATGCTGTCTTAATGTGCAGAGCTTCAGGAAGCCACATAATACAGGAATGAAAATTCTATAATTAAGGTCAAATTGTTCACATCTTAAAAGCTCTTTGATGATACCCTTTTCCAGTAGTTATCATGATTAACTCCTAACAATGGGCTTGTAATTGCAAAGATGACCTTTGACATGTGGACTAATGCAGTGCTCTTTTCCCCTATCTGCAGATAATCTGAAAAAGCTTCACAGCAGGGTGATGGCATCTACTTATCTGATTGGAATCTGAACTCAGAAACCAGGGGCTTGTTTCTGTTGTATACACATAAATGTTGAGTGCCATCAAAGATGCTTTATGGTATTTGAGACATTCTTATGGGATGCCAAGGACCTATGGGGAAGTCCATGTCCCTTGAAATCACATCTAGAGACTAAGTCCCAGAGGATGTCTTAAATACCGTAGGATACTTCAAATGACACTAGACACCTATGTGTGAACAACTGGATGACATTCCTAGTAACCACCACTTAATATCGGCTAATTCAACTGTCTCACTGCAGGCAATTTTATTGGAGTTACCCAGCTGTATATTCAATTAGTGTTGTTGATGGGAAAGAACTTCCTGGCTATCCAGCCAAGACTCCGAGAAGTTGTTGTACAATGGTATCATGCAGAACTAACTATGATCATGTGCCATTATTAAATGTCCTAAGATACGTGTCTCCTTTTCCTTTCCTCTTATGCTGTTTGTCAAGATGCAAAGTGGCCTCTCACCCAAAGACAGCTTTGTTTCTGAATTGTCTATCACCAGTCAAGGGGACCAGAGCTGTAATCTGTACATATAAATGATCATACATAATTACTCTCTGCATGTTTCAGCAGACTCTTCCTGCTTTTTGTGTGTTACTGATTTTAAGTTGTCCTGAAAAGTACTAATTTCACCCAAGGAGTCACAGCAAGGCAGCAACCCGCTCCCATTAGGCAAATGAGATCATAAGGAGTAGCAGCTACTGCAGCCACAGCAGGTGAGAAAAGAGGCAGCAGCAGCTGAGTATTTCCACTTCAACTTGAGTTTTATACCACTGTTTGCAGCATGGCAGGTATTGTAGCTCTCAGGTGTACTGAAGTACTTGTATACCTCCCATACGCTTCAGCGATAGCTCTCCCTACTATGTGTCTTGTGCTACAGTCAGTCGTGTATCTCAGTGTTTGACATCTCAGCCTTTGGCACAAGGGTAGCTTCTGCTTACCCCCTGTAGCAGAAGGGGGCAGCGGCAGTGTCCAAAACTGAATGAGGAATTCAGAGTGAAATTTATAGAGAATTTGATGCTGACATAACATAAATCCATTGAAAAAATACCTGTTAACCCACACAGGTGTTTAGAGGGCCATCAGCACTGAAGATTTCACCAGTAGTTATCTAATGTGTTGTGGCTGTATGCCCTACTAGCTGTCTTGTACATCTTCATGTTCAATAGGTTTCACAGCTGGCAGCACATCCTCAGGTCCCCCACTTCCACACCTGCCATTCTCCAAGTGCCATCAGTTGAGCTCTAGATTCACTGTACAGGAGATAAAATCCACGTGGGCAACCTGGATATCTAAGGTCATGCAGAAAGCCTGGGAGGAGCAGAGCTGAAACTTGCTCTCTCAAGGCCAGTTTGCTGCCTGCTGGACAACCCTTCTATGCCATGGACTTCAGAGGGGGAACAAGGCACACACCCTCTAACGCAGAAAGACAGCAGT